CAACCTACCTATCAATTGCAAAATCGGTTTAAAAATCAGTTATATGAAATTTTGTTACATTTTTATACCTATAATTTCTTAATTTTGTTTAATTTCAATAATTAAGCGAAAAAAATTCCATTAAAACAGTTAATACGCTTCATTTTAATATGATGCGCGAAATATTGCGCAATGAAAACTATTGTCGGCCCCCTTAAGTTCATTGATCTCCTTAACTATATTTTTGCTATGAAGGCTAACAACTTGTGGAATAATTAAAACAAATACTATATACAAAGAAGAAGGTATGGTTTCCATACAAATTTTGCCCTGTAATTTTCTAAAAAATGAAACTGGTGTAAAAGTTGAAAAGTTTTTAAATAATTGAAATTAATCAGAAAAAGCTCTCTTTTTCTCACATGTGTTTTTGAATGCCAATTATGACGTCATAAACATGGCATTTTCCCCTCTTAAAAAGTTGTCAGCTCATTTTCAATGGAATTTTCTTTCACTTAACATTGTCCACAGTCATCGCACACAAAGATTTCTTGAGATATGTGATTTGTTATTGAATTTTGCACAAAATATCAAAAAATTAACGTCTATTAATTTTATGGAAAATCACTTCTTAAAATGTAATTGTAGGCTTTTAGTCCGTTTAAGTTCATTAATCTCCTTATTAACTATAATTTTGCTATGAAGGTTAACAACTTGTGGAATATTTAAAACAAATACTATATACAAATTAATCATAGAGAATATAACAGATCATTTGCAAAAATACAGATCATTTGTTATTTAACTGTTATAATGAAAAGTATATAATTTATACTCACGACAACATATTTTGTTAAAGTTCAGTCCTGCCTTTATTTCTTGTACATCAGACAGAACCGTGGATACATCTTTCTGGAGCTCTTTGTTATTTTCATAATCTACTCTCAGTTTTGTTACCAGTGCTTCTTCGTTTTCTTCTTCCAGAGCCTGTCTTTCAACGTGTTGAAGACTATTCATGTAGTTTTTTCCCGTATATTTTTGAAATCTTTTACACACATCTAATATAAGTAACCAGATGTCATCAAATATTTTTTGTGAATTAGAAGCCGAATACACGTGTCCAAAAACACTATTTCGAATCAATCTTATTCTTTCAATGTCGTCTCCGATCGTTATCTCTCCCATGGACGGCATGTCATTTATCCCCCAGCCGTTTGTTGGTGGAGGAATCGTAGTACAAAGGTTCCTTAGCAGAGTATACATGAGTGTTATGTCAAAGTTCTTGTACCTAGAATTTTTAGCTTCATTTAAAAGAAGCTCCTGTTCAGGACTCAGTCTTTTGTAAATTGATGATGACTTCACTTTATTGAATACAAGAGATGGGTGAACTTCTATTTCTAAAATATCTCTGTAGGCCTGAGTTAACACATCGTTTATAGCCATTCCAAGTTTTGCAAATCTAGAACGCCCACCGGGATCCGGTCCAGATGCCATTTTCGATTTTTGCAAAAGGAACAATTCTCTTTCTTCTGAAACAAAAAGTACACAAAGTTATTGTGAGAAGAACTATTTATGTTTTCTAAACAGTTTCACTTTCTCAGGAGTTCAAAGGGACTTAATAATAATACACGGTGTTAATGAATCTGTGAATTCAAGAAACAGTGAATAAGTTTTCAGGTATAGATTTTTTAATATATAACAATTCCGCGAATTCAAGAAACCGTGATTGTGCCAAAGATTTCAAATGAAATTAATCCCCTATACAGTATTCCAAATGAAATATCTTCCGATACCTGTAACTCTTGAATATACATGTACGTTTTTATATTCCTTTTTGTTCATTGGAATAAAGTGTTTATAAAGTGTATTATATTTCTACTCATATTTCAAGTGAGGCCTTGAGTGAATGTTTCAAGATATTATTTGTTGTATGTCTTGGTTTGTAAAACATCAAAACAATTGAACAGGAAAAGAGTTTCAAGATGCTAGTAGCGTGTAAGGTGTGAATATTTTACTCTTATTGCATACAGTTCCAACAATATTATATAATTATTGCTGTTTTTGAGGTCAATACAATGATTTAGCCATGTGATGAGTACACTATTCACCGAGCCCGAAGGACGAGGTGAATATTGTTCTTCGAAGATGGCTAAATCATTGTATTGACCGAAAAAAACACAGCAATAATTGTTTTATTATATGAGTCAATGATAATCTGATAAAGCCCATTACTTGTTTGCATTTAATTAAGGCCTAGCCAAATACAAAAGAGAAGCAGAATTAAAATGTAAATAAGCCTTTTCAAGTTGTATCAATTTGAAGTTTTTTATCAATTCTAGTTGCCATGAAAAAAATATAATGTCAGTCCTCTTATTTGATTGATTTTGAAAGGAAGGAGAATTATCAGGGAAAATTGACCGCCAAAAAGTAAAAATTGTTGTTCAGTAAAAGTGTATCCCCTCTTACCACTCTAACCCGAAAATATATATTCGCTTATATTTTGTTCACATGAAAAAAGGTCATAGTCGTTTAAATAGCTTTCCAAAACAATTTGTATCATTTTGGAATTTGCCGATCTATTTTTAGATCAACATAGAGGAAATAAATGCTTGTATTGACCTGGAACGTCACGTGCAGATCAAGAAAACGTAGTATCTTTCTAACATAGTTGGATCTCAGCCAATCAAAGAGATGGAAATTATTCAATCATATAATTATTATTATTGTCGGTATGGGTTTTCCTGTGTGGACAGAGTGGTAGATCTGTGTGATTTTATGTCACGTGACATGATCATATAAATAGCAGGTATGTGCTTAAAAAGTTACTCTACTGCTCGTACAGAACGTAGGATTAGGAATGGAAACTAGTACAGCGAGTTCGGACGCGGACTATTCTGAAGAAGTTTAATTGGGCGAGTCTAGTGAACAATTGTCTAACGAGGAAGCCGTATCTTTGTTTGATAGTTCATTGAGAAAAGCTTTGCAACAGCAGAATGAGGTCATTGTGAGTTCTATTGTGAAGTAAATCAACATTTAACCTTATATTCCTCATGTTCCTGCTACGATCATTCACGGTAGCTCTGTCGGTAGAGCGCTCGCTCCGTAATCGGGAGGTCGTGAGTTCGTATCTCGGTCGCGACTGACCTTGTCGTTAAAATAGGTAGCAACTGTTCCTTCGCCATGCGCTCGAGTCCTTCGAATGAGACCTTTAAAAACTGAGGCCCAGTGTCAGCGGCAGGCGTTGGAACGATAAAGGTAATGGTCCCGAGTGCCCTTTACCGGCATACGGTGACGTTTCCATATGAGTGAAAAATTCTCGAGAAGGACGTTAAACAATATACAATCAATCAATATATTCCCGCTACGTGCAAGGTGAAGCCCTTATTAAGTGCTCTACCTTTTAGAATTGAAAGACGGTAGAATTATTTGATTAAAATTTCAGTTAAAGGGAATTTACATGTTTGAATTTTCTTCTTATATCACACCTTACTGTGTCGGCAAAAATTTTACTAAACTCTGTCGCAAGCAAAAAGATTGTTACTTTGCCGGAGAAGATTTTACGATTTCGGGACCAACACAGTAATGTTGCAAGGGTAGCTACAATTGACTTAACTGATTTCAAAAATTAGTCAATTTTTTTTTGTTTGGACGGGCAATTCAAATGTATCAAAAAGTTACCTTGGCCTTATCAAATAAATGACTTTTCATCAGTTTCTTACTTTTTGTATTATAAGGCTTTTAATTAATTTCAAGCAATATGATCTGCATGTTTGACATCGGAAAATTTTGCTGCAAATTTGTAACTAACTACTTCAATGACAGAAAAATAGAACATGTATGAACTTCTGCTGTTCATATTTGCGACAGAAGAACTTTTTATGAGCTTTGATCGAAACAAAATTGTATTATTGTCGTTCTGTACAATAATGATTTCTTATACATGCATAATACTGTATATTCGATCATACAGAAATATTTCTTCTGAGACATTTTTAAACTTAATTTTGTTATTATTGATCATAAAGGTTTAAATTACGTACAAATTAATCATAACAACACATTTTACCAACAAAATAAAACTCTCAAAAATGCAGCTCATATTGCTTTCAAAGAAAATAATTGTGATATTTTCATTGGAACGTGTTTGTGATTTTTATAACTTTGATATTTTTGTCCTTCCGCATGACCTGTGGATTATTTTAATTTTTATGTTTATCTTACTATCTAAGAAAAGGAAATAAATATTTCTATTAAATTTTACTCATTTTTTTTATTTTCATAACTTTCATATCCTTACCTTCGTTATGGCTGACTGAAAGGAATAAGAAATGGTAGGATAAACATTTGATGTTTTAATGATTTTCCCAACATTGTTATATAAAAAGGTCCTTTTTATCAATAAGTTACCGACATCTCTGGCCTGTCAATATATACTCACAATCAATAGAAACGCAACATCCTAATTTTAGGGCGAAAATTATATACTGGATATAACTACATGTATGTACCAAAAAGTTATGACATCTTTTACTTTGCCAAATCAGTTATTTAACGGTAACCGTTGAATGATTTTCTTACCATTATCGGAAGTTTCTTAGCAGAAATCAAAATTTTGTATTTTTAATACCTTTTTAAACAATATTTTGGGTTTTCAAGGTTTTGAAGCTGTTAATCATAAGTATTATACTAATGAAAATTTATCAAAAATGCAAAATTTTGATTTCTGATTTGATGCAATGGCATTCAACCGTAAAATAAATGATTTGGCTAAGTTAAAGATTTACTAACTTTTTTGGTACATACATAGTTATAACAGGTATATAATTTTCCCCCTAAAAGGAGGGTGTTGCGGTTCTTTGAACTGCAAGTATATATCTTTTTTTTATTAATCTTTTTTTTTTTGGTCACCTTTTCTTTTTTATATGAATTTAAGTTATGGGAAAAATTTTGACTTAATAAGTTATCATAAATTTCGATATGAAATTCCTATATTGTTTAGTAAAATTAATTTTAAAGTACTTTACTCAACAGTTCTTTACATCAATCCTTTTGTCAATTTTTATGAACCACATACTTATTTCCAGTGGAATCCCTGTGTATTCTCTCTTTCTTGAAATCCTCTTTTTCCAGAAAATAATGGCAAGGACTAAGAACAGAATTAATACGATAAAATATGTACTTCCTATAATCAATCCTACATCGCTCGATTCTTCAACTACAATGCCGGTCTCTGTGGTCAACATGTTTATTGTGGAACTGATAATGCTATCAACCGGTGTACTTATGTTGTGAGGATAATTTTTTGTTCTGCAATTTGAAAAAAAAAAAATTTTTATCGTTTATTATTATTTTTTTTCAAAGACAGGTTTTTTATACATACATTGGTAAGGGTTATTGTGTTACGAAAAAAATCACAAGTCGTAAATACATGTCTGTTAATATATTTAAATAACCTTTAAAAGACATCTGTTTGGATGTTATTATATTAATAACTCTGATACTTCGATCAGTGGACATCTTGTCGTGTACTGAAAATCAATGTATATTTATTGTTTGAGCCGGAAAAAAAAAATAAGCTTTGCAAGCGAAAACGTTTACATTTTAGCAATAAAGCGAAAAAACCCGAACCATTTTAATATTTATCTTCTCCAGAGTATTATGTAAGTAAATAGAACGTCGAGTAAGGGGCTACCTGTTTGGACAAGAAGGATCTGCATAAAAACATTGAAATTCAGTGTTGATCCTGCTGCAGGCTGAAACTAGAGATACAGTAAAATCATTTTTTTTAATTTCTAATTGTCATATCCAGTCACTAATTTAAGGTCTACATACATTTGTGTAAGTCTGTTCCTCTGAAGTTTTCTTCTGGACAACCGGCTTGAAAATGCTGACAACTGATCTGATCCAAGTTTCCATCTCCGACTGTCTCCAGGCAATGTCCTTAATTGAACAAAGGTAATCCATTTTAATGCAAAAACTCACAAACAGTAAAAGCTTTTTACACTAATTTCTTCATTTAACATAAAATTTCCTTGAAATAAGTAATTATGAAATTCCAAAAATCCCCAATATAAAAATTAATTAAATATTTACGCACGTGGCTCATATTTCTAATACATATTACGCCTTTGTCAGTGTTTATTATATGATGCCTTAAATGTGTAACACTTATCTTCTAATTTAACGATTTCAAAAAATATACAGCTGTAAAAACAAACTGTCCTAACTTGTTATCCAATATCATGAGATAATACCGGTTCTCTCTCTCTCTCTCTCTCTCTCTCTCTCTCTCTCTCTCTTTATTTGAAACATATGGTGATAACGAAGAGATAAAGTCTATAAAGCAATACAAAACAGGAGCAGAGCAACCACGGACACTTAAAACATCAGAGGTGGGATCACGTGTCATGGAGGAGTGAGCATCCCTTGCCAACCGGTCACATCGACAGTGTTCTTGTCACGATCGGGAAATAACGTGAAAATCTGTCGTCAATTCAGGGTATAAATAATGCACTACTAGTTAGTATGAAAAATCAGCATTTGAGTCAAAGATAAATTTTATTTGCTGACAAGGTAATTGTAATAATTAATATAGAACTATCGAAATGATGACTTTAAAGTTTTTAGGCAGTTGATTTCGGTAAAATCTCTTAATTTCAAATTGTCCAAAAGTTCTTTGGAATTTTAAAGTATCCGCAAATGCTTTGTTTATGATATTAGATCAGACAGATTGTTTGTGTGATAAAATTGCGAACAAATGCCTCTGGAGTTCAATCAAATTATCACAACAATATACATACTAGTTTATCACACAAAAGGTGCTTCTTTGGGAAAAAAATCCTTTAGAAGCCCCCTTGCCTCAAATGAATAACCGATATCAAACATTTTTTGTACTTTTGAAATGTATAGATCCCAAGAAATTACTTTATCATGTAGGCAATTGTCAAATTTTTAAATAACTTTGCTTTTCCCTTTTGTAAAACCCCATATAGTCCATTTGATAAAACCCCATCGTGGTCCCAAAGCAGAATTCTACCAGAGCTGATCTGCTTCATTACGGACAGAGGTGTACTGATAACGTCCATATAACATGTATAAAATAAATGTCTTTTACCCAATTGATATAACCCGACAATTTTGCTGTAACAGAATTCTATAAGAGCTGATCTGTCTTCGTTAGGGACACAGGTATACTGATTACGTCCATACTGGTCCACTCCACAGTTCAGTCTTGTAGCACCTGTTATAAACTCTTTCTCATTGGTAGGACAGGAATCCACAACGTAACCAAACCCTCGATATGTCATATCTGAAATAATATGAGAATATATAATGCCATCTTTGCGTTCAAGTAAACAGTGTAGTAATTCGAGGAAATAAAAATGGAAAAAAAAAGCGCGCGCTATTAAGACATAGCGGAAAACCAAAAATTTAAAAATCGTCAAAAACGAAGGACACCAATAGATTCAAATATTGAGTATTGTTTGTTTAAATTTGACGTTTTGATAAACTTACTTTAAGGGGGCCGACTATAGTTTCCATTGCGCACTATTTCGCGCATCATAGTAATACATGTATGAAGCGTATTTACTGTTTTAATGCAACCTTTTTCGCTTAATTATTACAATTAAACAAAATTAAGAAATAATAGGTATAAAAATGTAATTACAATTTGATATAACTGATTTTTTAACCGATTTTGCAATTGATAGGTAGGTTGACGTCGCTGCAGTGTCTTTTTGACGTTATGTTAATCTGTAGCTCTTAAAGAAAGGGGTAATAAAAATATTATTACAGAAAAAGTAATAAACATACGCTCTTGAAATTTAAAACATAGAAATTTTAGAATATCTCATATGTATTTTTATTATGTTTTCTTGTGAATCCATTGTTTACGTCATATTTTGTTGTACTCTATAAAATAGTAAAATTAGCTGATTTTTTTTTTTTTTTTGCATTTTGAGATGCCCCTCTGTTAACAAGACGGTAGAATTTTGTGTTTCTTACATATAATGTATAATATAGTATTACTCATCAAATATTATAGTTTGAATAAAATGTCTATTGTACACTGAAGTTAATGCAAGTTACATATGGAATAAAAATGAAGAGTTTCGCTATTGCAGTTTTCACACAATAAAACTATAGTCGGCCCCCTTAAAAGATAGGTAGAGACGAAGGACATAGACGAAGGATATAGTTATAGTTAACCATAGTAAATTAAATAAAAGATCGATATATTTCTTTTTCAAAATTTCCTACAAGTAATTGCCTGATAGTAAAAAAAAAAATAGTTGTATTTCTTGTATATTTACATTTTTCTCCAAAAATGACATGATTGATATATTATCTAAGAAATATTAAGACTCTAAATCTTCAAAACAAATTCTAGATTAATTCAATTAAGCATTTACTATGATTAACTATATAGTGAACTATGCATTGTTAACTATAGTAACTATTTGTAAGGGATAAGCCTTTTACATGTCCATCCCCTTGTTCGTTCTCAATTTTTCATGTTTTCTGAAAATAATTCCTATTTTTTTTTTATGTCTAAATTTGTTTAAACAACAGATCTTATTAAAGTTCAAAACATATACATGTAGGATAACTCTTACTCTTTACTATACTAAATATACAAAAAAAAGATGCTAAACGTCTTAACGTGTACATATTTTAAGCACATTTAGATACATGTACAGTATGATGCAATATATATTCGTACAAAATGGCGGCGTGTTTACATTCGCGACGAAAGTACTGACGTCAACAATTAAATAAATCACAAGTAACATGCCTAGTATTTTGTGAGGTGACCCTTTTAGCTTATTACACTTAGAAACCAACTCGGAATGGTCCTGTACAGGCTTTTGACATACTCTGGTGTAATGTCGGTCCAGATGCGCTGTCCTTGTTCTCAATTCGCCCTATCCTTCCTTGAACACTCCTACTTATGTATTTGGAACCTTTTATTTTTCGGTCTTCTGCAAATTATAAAACCCGAGTTCAGAATAGCTCTGACAGTGGCTCTGGCGAGAGTAAGCGAGATTTCAGCGAAATTAAATTAATCACGGAAATGTGGCTAGAAAGTGACTAGCACGTGGAGACATGTTAAACAGAAAAGTTGATTATGTTGCATTTTAGATTTCACCACCCTATAATATCATTCTGTAAAAATGTACTTCAATCGATCTTTCTTGAATGCATTCAAGTTTAAATCATAAGTATTCTCGATGATACAATTTTCTGTTGTCATGAATTAAAATTTCTTGTTGGACTAATATTTTACATGAGAACCGGGGACTATATTTTGGCGTCAGATTAGCAAATGAGGTAACAATCATGTGACTTTAACTGACAAATCAGAATGAGAATGGCATTATGGGTTACTATACGAATACTACAGGAATTTTACTCTTGATAAATTCCTTTATTGTACTATCGTTGAATACAATTGTCAAGTGCATTCCTTGGTTAACACAGTTGATCACGAGTAAAGGTATGTAAAAAAGGTTTTGTCCATTTAAATGCATACGAAATGCTGCTCGTTTTCCTTACCCTTGAAGTGCTGGTGTTCTGAACTTGACACTAAAATTTTACATTTTATTAAACATATTTTTCTCTAGTAAACAACAAATCAAAAACGCCCATGATATTTTTCATAGTTTCTAATTTGCATTTTGTTCTATAGATTGATAGATTGATTGATTGATTATATATTGTTTGACGTCCCTCTTGACAATTTTTCACTCATGGAGAAATGGAGAATGGAGACGTCACCGATGCCGGTGAAGGGCTTCAAATTTAGACCTATAATCGGCACTCAGGGCCATTGAGCAGTGAGGGTTCTTTATCGTGCCAACGCCTACCGCGACACAGAACTTCGTTTTTATGGTCATACCAGAAAGACCCGTGACTTTCACTTCTATTGCCAAGCGCTTCGCGAAGGAACAGTCACTCCCTATGTTTACGTCTTAGGTTATGAGGCGGCGCCGAGATCGAGAATCGAACTCGGGCCTCCCGATCACGAAGCGAACGCTCTACCACTAGGCTACCGTGACCGGTTTGTTCTATAGAACATTTTTTTTAATTTTTCACTCCATTGACATGATCTTGACTGACCTGAACCCAGTGTTCGAAGTAACACGTAAACATGTATTTGGCGTAAACGTATTCAATCAACATTGGTCAGTTGCTCGTGGTAAGATCCTCCGACGCCAACGTTTAGTCTTACTTTTTTCCACAAAGACTTGATGAAATTTTCAAACATAAGTTTTGCCCGCCCAGTAAAACATTAGAAATCATAGATTTCTTCTTTTTTTCAAACACTCTTTCTTAACATTGACATTAACTTACATGTATTTTGTTTTGGTATTACTTTAATTTTAAGTCAAATATTTATTTTCAAATACAGTATTTCCTTGTAGGAAATTATTTAAAAGAGAGAGAGAGATAATGTAATCATGCCATTAACATGATATACAGTTGTATATCGACCAACTTTATTTTTTTAAACACTACATATCAATTTTATGATTGGAGAAAGGACATCTAGCAGCACGCCATATTATTAGCAATTTATATTTTGATACAAGTTTATATAGAAATTGTTACATGTACAGCAAAGCTAGGTTATAACAAAGTCGCTGGGACCTATGGTTTTACTTCGTTATATCCGTAATTCGTTTTAACCGTATAAGAAATTCATCAAATTTATATAGCTGGGGATCCAAGATGACTTTGCTATATCCGTAAATTCGAAATACCTGTGCTCGTACTAAACGAGTTCTACAGTAGATTGATAAAGAAGCTGTAAACATAAATGTCAAGCTGAACACGATGCATTTTTTCTGTATTATTTTATGGGGGGTGGGGGAGGAGCTATTAAAAGCAGTCAATTTGCTAACAATTGGCATTCAGTTATCATGTCCCCTTTCGAAGAATGGAGGGCCCAGTACTTTGCTGCTGACTGTCGGTCGGTCTGTCGGTCCACTTAGTTTCCGTTCATTTTCTTCAAAACGGTTGCACATACTGAAACGAAATTTAGTATTCAAATTTATCAGATAAAAATCTAGGTCAAGTTTTGTTTTGGCTAGGATCGGGCCAATTTGGACAGTACAAAAATTCTAATTATTTGCCGTTTTCCTTCATTTTCTTCGCAGAGGTTTCACATACTGGAATGAAATTTGGTATAGAAATTTATCAGATGAATATCTAGGTCAAGTTATGCTTTGGTTAGTATCGGGACATTTTGGAAAGAGTTATGCTCCTTGGACTTAGAAAAATTCTAAGTACTCTCCGTTTTCATTCATTTTCTTCGCAGAGGTTGAAATGAAATTTGGTATTCAAATTTATCAGATGAATATATCGGTCAAGTTCTATTTTAGGTTCTTAGCTGTGTCCCTTGGACTCTGGGGGAGGGGGGGGGCATGTGTTTTTTACAAACATTTCTTGTTTAAACAATACACTGTAATTGTTTCAATAGCCATTAGTTCGTTTAACATATTTTTTTCTTTTCTGCGCAATCCTAGAAACTGTTTACGATTATATAGTGAAGCAACCATCCCTTTCTTCAGGATTTTTTAATTTTATATGGTTCTTTCTTGACATTTCATTGTTTATGGCCCCTCTTTATCTTAATGAATACAAAGTATTTATCACTCAGTAGATAACCTGCAGCTGGTCTATATTCACACAAATATATCCCTATTGGCGTCCCTTATCATTTCAAACATTTATTGACTGAGTTCTAGTGCAACATGTGTTGTGTCGGACCAAAGAATCAAACACAACACGGTCTCAGGCAGTACATGTATTCTGGACTGTCTTCCGTGATGTACTTTGTAACTGCAGATCGTCACTGTAGAATACCACCGAATGAAAATGCACATAAAACTCCGCCCAGTCTTTGACGTAAGCGGCGGTCCAACATCTCTATCAGCGATCAAAACATCGATTTATTATGCCCACCAAGTAAAACATAAGAAATTATAGATTTTTTGTATAAATTTGTATAGAAATAAATTTTAAAAGGTATAACAATAAATTTTCCCGAGTGTTTTAAGAAATAAATGTTAGTTGCTGTTTATGACGTTTTACGACGTAATTTGTTATATAATATTAGGAGATAATTTTCGTAGTTTTCATTGGCTGAAAAAAAATTCACGTGATATTCCCCATTTTGTGACATCGATGCGAAAGCGCATGCATCTGCGGAAAATGATATCGCACGACACGCCGTTCGGTTGCACTAAAGATACGCAGTATGCGACGTCATTAACCATTAACCATTGTGATGTAATGACAG